GTACGTCGAAGGCTCAATTGAAGAGCGCCGGCGTTCTCAAGAACGGCTCGTAGCGAGGTTCCCCGCCCTTGCCCAAGCCGACGATCCATGGGGAAACTTGCTGGAGATCATCAAGGGGTCAGAGAACCGCCCGTCCGAGTCTGCGCTCGTCGTCATCGACTGGGCAATGCAGCTGACTGGCGATGTGAGGTCGCTGCAGGAACTTCAGCGAAAAGTGCAACTTGCAGCAGAAGCTTCGATGAACAATCCAGCTCCGCCAACTTTCAGCGAGTCGTCAAAGGGACGGATGTCTACTAATGCCTTCTCTCAGCATCCGTCAAGTCTGGGAGCCATTGTCGCAAGCTCTGCGTCCGGTTCGGGTCGAGGGCGGTCGGTAGCGCAGCGGCCCCTTACAAACACTCAGTCCGACGAGGACGCCGCTGCGGCTTTGTGGAGGAGAATGGCGAATCAGGTCGTCGATGACGTGTTCAAACCAGCTTCTGATCACATTTCATCGACCTCCGACAGGCCAAATGTCCTTTCGGGCGGAAAACAAGCCTCCTGTGATGCAGAGGCGGGTGGGCGCGCCTCACCGCGCACATATACTCCGGCCGTAACGTCTGCCGCGGAAGTTCTTGTCTCCTTGCCACATCACTCCCTCGGTCCCCTTTCCAGTCTAACCAGTCTACCAGGATCCACTCCCTCTCCCAGCCCTCCCTCGACTCCTGCACACACTAGAAGTCCTACAGCTGACTCAGGAGCGGCGACATCAAAAGCCACCTCTCTCCCAGCCCCTTCGCCTCGCAGATTGCGCAGTCGATCCCTTCGTGGAGCGCCGAGGAGGACACGGGGTCGGTGAAGAGTCTTTCGCACCGCCGAAATCGGATATGGACGGGGATCCGGCCTGATACGACGTACATGTTTGTAGCGTGAAGGATATACGAATTGGACAGAGCAGAGTGTTTCAGATGGCTGACGAATACTAGCAGTTTACCGGATGTGCAAAACTTATTTTGCAGAAGCTGTATCTTGTCTGTCCCGCTCTTGATCCCTCTCGGATTTGGTACATAGTTTTGAAATCATGGAAGGTACCTCGGTCATTTTTTCGGAGCAGTATTGCAGGAGAGCGAGAGGGGCATATACAGTTGTGCAAAGGCCGTTGTCACGAAATGTCACGCCGGCAATGACGAAGCGCCCTGGACGGGCACTGTAGACGGCGATGCGATGGAAAACTCACGCCGCTACATGAGCCGACCGAGCGCTCATGATGGCGGATAGTCGCGCTCAGAACGTCCGGACGCTGTGGACGCCATAATCTCTGGGTGTTGACCTCGAGAGCGTACAGTTACACTCGGGGGGTATGTATCATGAAGATCCCACAGTTCAACAAGGATCGCCCAAGATGTGGACAAACGCGCGCATCCGCACCCGGGCAGAAGTGCACACTTTCTCCGTTTCTTGTCGCTGTCTCATATAGGCAAATGGCAGGAGTCATCCGGGAGGTCAGAGTCGACAAGGAATGGTACGTAAGTACCTCTTCGATGGCCAGACCCCCAACCTGACAAAGATCGTCTCGTTCAAATGAGCACAGGTGATTTCCCTGGTGCATCCGTTGCGATAGCCTATCGGCAGCTACGGGTGCATCTGGACGGATCTGGCGATCCGTGCTGCGCGCCCGTGGAGACGCGCCTCGGGGCGGCAAGGACGCGTGGCGCGCATCGACGCGTGGCTGTGATGCACGCCGCGCGTCCATCCCCTTTGCCGTCCCTCCTCTCGTCCACCACCCAGCCTCCCTGCTCTGTCCAGGCAGACGATAGCGACCATATGGTCGACTGTTGTCTGCTATTCGATGTCACCTGGTGACACTGACCTTCCCCTCCCCTCCCTTCCCTCGACCTCGACCTCGACCTTCATCCCGCCCTTCACCAACCTTCCCGGCTGCGCTCATAACAAACACACCGCACGAGGACGTCCATACGGACGTCCTCAGGATGGAGATTGGAATCTGAGGGCCGCGCCGATGTACCGCGGCCCCTGTTTTGGTGAGTCCTCCGCTCCGCCCTCCTGCATTCCCAACGCCCACCCGTCCCCCTGCCGCCTCGTCGACAACTACAACAGACTGAGGACGCTGGACGTCCCAGCCCTCCGAGTCGCCCTGCGCACGCCGCCCTGCCCCTACCCGCATTACTCGCCTCCGCATCGCCCTTCTCCGCCCGCGTCACCGCGCTCTTCCACACCGCGCTCCTCCGTGCCGCACCCCTCCGCGCCACCCTCCTCCTCCGTGCTGCCCTCCTCCTCCACACTCGTCACCCGCCTCCTCCGTGCATGTCGCCCACCTCCTCCTCCGCCCGCATCGCTCTTCTCCACGCTGCCCTCCACCCGCGTCGCCCTCCTCCTCACCCGCGTCCTTGCCCGGATCCTCCTCGCACGCCTCCTCGGCGCTCGCGTTGCCGGTCATCCACGCTGCCCACGACTGCCTCGCGCTCCTTGCCGTCCACCCGCCTCCTCGCCCGCCCGTTTCTTCTGCGCCCACGTCGCCCGCCTCCTCCGCGCCGCCCATCTCTACCCGCGTCGCTTGCCTCCGTCACGCCGCGCTCCTCCGCACTCTTTGCCCGCCTCCGTGCTGCGTGCCTCCGCCTCGCCCTTCTCCGCCTGCCCGCGCGTCCCGCTCACTTGCTCAAGCACGTACGTGCTCTGCGCGCTCATTGGACTCACGCGTCGGGCGAGGTACCACATCGCCGCGTTCCTGCTGCCGTGGGCTACCGCAGCCCGCACTTGCTTAGCACCAAGTAGTAGTGTACTAATAAATATATTTGGATTCTATTCATACGCTTTGTGCATTCATTATGCAAGTAAATACAAAAAAGTGCGGTGGGAAATAATGAGGGAGGGTGCAGAAGTCAGGGGATGACGAGCTCGCCATCGGATACGGCGAGCTCGGGTGGTGGGGCCGTGAGACGCCGGCGTCCGAACGTCTCAGGGCAGCGTCACACCCATGATGGCCAGCGGGTACACGGGTGCGGAGCGAAGCGGGTGCGATGGCGGCGGCCGGGCCGGCGGGGACACCAGGTGCATCCGCACCTGTTGATAAGCTATCACAACAGATATACCTGGTGAATCACTACTGTAGTTCAAATCGGTCGATGCGGACGCGACTCAAGCGGCCGCGGACCTGCCTCAGGAGCGCGAGCAGTGCTCAGCGGCGTTCGTGCGCCATCTGGAGGCTGCTCGCAGTGCGGCTGCAGTCGGAGTGGCGGGAACAGTACCGCAACTCGCGCCCATACGCTGATGTGCAGTCAACTCCGGGAAGAGTCAACAATGGTGAGGATGAGTGAGCGAGCACGAGTAAGCGTGGGACATGGGAAGTCGAATGTAAGGTCAGGGAAACAGATACGACACGCCGCGGGGAGGGCGAGCGCGAGAGAAGGACGGATCGGAGGAACGCGCGAGCGTGAGGAGGACGAGATGGGGATAGACGCGGGGGAATGTACGACTGTTACTATGTAACTGGATGTTGCGGTGACTCACCATTTAGATAGAACTGGGAAGTCAAAGTTGCTCGTGAGGTCCGAAAACGGGCGCTAGTGATGACAAAGGAGGGGTCGAGGTAGTGGGTGAAAGCGTGGGCATGGGCGAAGTCTAAGTCGAGGACGAAGGCGAAACTGGGGCGCGCGCAGCTGGAGCGGGGAAGTGAACTGGATAACACAAAGTAAAACACGAGTCTAAATACATCACGCGCACAGGGCGAGTACGTAGCGACGAAACGAAGGCCTGCCGAAGACAAGAGACGAGAAGATACAGAGCCGGGACTTAATATGAGATAGAGAAGCACGAGCCGCGGCGGAAGGAGCTCGAGAGAGGGTGTAATAAGTGAACAATGACCGAGACAGAACGAGCCGAAACGGGGGACGCCGGAAGTGGATACCAAAATAAAAGAATAGGAAGAAAATCGAACGGAAGATAGAATGAGACGTACGAGACAGGAGACGAGGTGCAATCGCGCGAGAAGAGTGTCGTTCGGACTGAGAGCGACGCACGAGCGCGCGACCGAACTGGTGCTTACTGAGCGTGAATGCCGGATGTGGGAAGCGCGCATCTGCGCGCTGAGGCCTGAGCCTCTTCCTCTTCCCCACATCGCATTCACGCGCATCAAAAGCGCACCGACCCACCACTCCCTGCAGCGCTTTGGTAGGAGAGGGCGGGTTTGTCGCCTCCCTATTTTGCCTGGCGCTCAAGCGGACCGTCCGGGGACGCGACCTCCGATCGCGTCGTGCCTAGCATCGGCATGCCGCCCTCCGGGCGAGCGCTCCACTTCTCCCATCCCGTGCTGCAGCAAGAAGCATGACCAAACATTCCCTCTAGACACACTCTTTACCTCTAATTTCTTCAGCCTATCTCACAGGCCTACAACGATTAGGCAGCCGGCACCGCGCCGCGAGCGGTGGAGATCGAGGACGAACACCGGCGGCGATTCATACTGGACGGTGATAGATTCCCGTCGCGGTCCGCAAATTGCGTCAGCCGCCGGCTATTCACAGGCGCCTCCCGACCCCGTGATTCGGGCGGACGTGGACTTCTTCCCGAGCATCGGGGAGCCCGGAACGGCGCTCACATCGCGCGGCCGTTCAAAGGCGCCGCCGACCTCGGGGGCAGCGCCACGCTTTACGTACGTACTTGCGGCGTCGACGCATAGTGTCGGCGGGCGCTTGAATTCAGACAACCGAAAATGCTTTGTGTCAGGCGCTCCGTGTCTAGCGGTGCTCCCGAGCCGAGGCCGGCCTCTTGCCGACCGAGCAAACGCCGGCCTCCGGATCTCTTTGTTCGGGCAACCGCTCCAAGGTGCAGCGACGCGCGGCTTCTGGACGGCGCTCCGTGCTTATTGAAAGGCGCCGATGATATATCACCGGTCACCGCCGCCGCATCGCCGTCATTCCGCCCATCCCGCTCTTGCCGCAGCTGCTTCCCCCAAATCCGTCGGTCTTACGAAAAATCGACGTCCCCCCCCTCATCCTCATCCTGATATGACCTCCATTCGTAAACTTAACGACGATGTCCTTTTCATTGTCTTCTCCTTCTTGGAGCGGAAGGACGCACTCGCAGCGTCCTACTGTGCAAAGAGGTTCTATCACCTGGCGATCACTGCGGCCTTTAGGTCCTTCAAAATATCCAAGGACCAATGGAAGGACGAGAACGGATGGGGTCTCCGAGAAAATACTCGTAAAATTGTCACTTTCTCCGAGCTGCTCCAAAGGAAGGATCGTCTCTATAAGGGCCTTCACCGGGGTCGACACCTTCGCCGGTTGGCTCTCCGTAGCATGGACGGTCCCGACTTCCTTCATTTCCCCATCCTCCTGACCGCCGCCGACCGTTTGCAGAAACTTCTACTGGATAGCTTCGAGTACGTTCTGAGCGAGAACAATCCCGTTGCTGAAGTAATAGGGAACATGGGCGAGCTCAAGCAGCTCATCATCCGGGACGTGGGGCCCTGGACCATCGAACGACTACCGGCCATCCTGTCCGCAAAGAAGCTCATCTCCTTGTCTCTCACGCTCGACAAATCGTTCTACCAGGACGTTGTAGATGCAAAGTTCGACCTCGCCAGTCTCGCCGCCTCTGTCTCCGCAGCTCCTGCACTGCGCTCCCTACACATCTCCGCGATCGACATACCAGCCTTCTATGAAGCACGTCCCTCGTACCGCATGTCAAGCCTGAAGCGGCTGTCACTCATCTGCCTTCGTGATGTCTCCGCGGCGTTCATCGACCTCTGCGACACCCTAGAAATGTGCGCTATCGAGCCGGAGCAGTATTCGGACGCAGTTCTAGATATCCCTGCAGCAGGTCAACCGCCCCTCCAAGTCGCGGAGCTTCACCTCCTCCGCTGCATCGGCATTTCCACAGAGACAGCCAGGCGGGTGGGTGAAGTTGGGTTGATATCGTTGGGCGGCATCATCACCCCCTTGTCCGGCATCGACGACGTGCGGCCGCTCGTCCCTCTTCTTCAGTCGGCCCGGCCCATCGCCGTGGAGGTATTCTCAGCAGGCGAGTTGACGGACGGGGAACAAATGTGGCACGGACTGTTTCAAGGCGCCCCTCGCCTACGCTACTTGGAGATCACCGTGACAGATGGGGATTGCAACATCGCCGATTACAAGGTCAGTATAGAGTCCCCGCCTATCTCACTCCTCCGTAGCTTTGCTTACTATCGTTTTATCGCGCACGACGCCCCGCACAGGCGATGCTGCTGGCTGCGCTCAGGTGTACAGCCATCAGCTACCTTAATCTCTATTGTCTTCCAGGATGTGGACCACTCCCGGTGGATATGCTCTGGGGTGATGTTGCGTCTGAAGAGGAGGAGTCTCACCGCGAAGCCGAGAGGGTTTTCGCCGAGGGGCTGGCGTCAATCCCGTACGAGTTAGCCGCGGGTCTGCCGGCGCTGCGGGTCATCGCGATGTCTCACAGCCGAGCGATTGAGGCCCGGGTCGCGGAAAACGAGATGTGGAACGGCGGATGGGGCGACGGGGAACGAGTCAACCTATCATGGCCCGACTCACGTTTATCTCGCGAATCGGCGAAGGGAACGCGGGTCGATCGGTGGTGGCGGGTCGAGGTGGACGGCTCGAACCGCAGGCCCGTCGAGATCTCGCGGGAAGAGGCCGAGGTTATGCGCGAGGAGATCCAGAGGGCAGACTTCGACATTGCGACGACGCTGAAGGGTAAGTACTTCTCATGCACCTTTGGTCTACGAGGCGGCTGATTTGGTATCTCGAAGCTTGTGCCGAAACAGCTGCCAAATTAGCTGCCGGCCGTCTGCTTCAGGCGCTGCGCTGAGGTGCGGTGGATCCGGTCCTTCGATGCCCATGCCGCAAGTCGCGCATTCCTGTAGTCGTATTACACTCTTATATTGGATTATCGTCGCATATGGGAAGTGGACTTGTTGATGAGACTCACTATCGTGGCGGCCGGGAGGGGGTACAGGTATGCATCGCCGACGGTATTGCGCAAAACTGTCACCCAGACCCGACTCTCGGTTCCTGCCGCGCACCGTCCGAGCCAATCGGTTCCCATCAGTAACTTCCAAATTCCCTGAATCCCTGAATCCCCGGATTTCAGGGATTTCAGGGATCCAGGAGAACCGGGACCATATATAACAGGGCGCACAGGGCGACGCAGGGATCCAGGACGCCCGGCGCGGGCAGGGCTTCAGGCGTCACGGCGCCTCACGCGGGATTCAGTACTCGGGCTGCTAAGCAGCCTAGTACAGTAGTTCGTGTAGGTGGTAATCTACGTACATGTCCAGATAGTACCTATTTTGAACGCATCTAAGGCGTCCAGAACTCGAGTTCGTTCATAAACACTGATGAGGTGACATGCTCGAACAATGGAGCAACGGGGATGACGTCGTACAACTCCCCGTGTTCGAGTCCGCCGGGATCACCGTCGCCGTCCTCTTCTCCGAGACGTGCGACAGGCACATAGGCCTCCTCCTCCACCCGTCGACCGCCCTGATGCAGGACGCCGCGCGGCCCAAGTACCACGTCGGGCACGGGTTCCGCCGCGCGAACGGCTCGCTCTGCGTCCACCAACTCGTCGCGCTCTGCGCCGACTGGCACGCGTTTGAGTTCAACGGGGAGCGCGTCCCCGCGGGCACGACCTCTTCATGCGGACGCGCCGCCCGCGCGCGAGCGCGACGAGCGGCTCGTGCTCTGCCACGTGCTGCATTGCCTGTGGCCCGCGCCACCGTTCCGGGTGCCGCACTGGCTGCTCGGACGGCTGGCGGCGCTCGGGCTGGAGCTGAGGCGGCCGAAGATCGTGAGCCATCCGACTGCGGAGGGGGAGCCGTTGCTGTGCATGTTGCGCTTCCAGAACTTGTGCGGGAGGGAGGCGGTCGAGATCGTCATGGGGACGTGTGACCGGTGCGTCTTGAGCGATGAAGAAGACGAGGAAGATGGTGGGTCTGAGGAGGCGTCATAACGAAGAGCGTGAGCGCGGTTGGATACGTGTGCGCGCAATGGAAGGGGCCGTGGGTGTCGACTTCACGGAGCGCAACAGCGGAGAGCGGAAGGGTGATATTGCGCGTACCTATGCCGATGAGCATGTCCTTGCCGGCGGGCTAGCTCGACAGCTGCCCACGGCCGTCAAGAACTCTGGAGGGGCCGCAGCGGTGGATCAGGATTCAGCGAACCAGCATACACCTGCGCGCGCGAAGACCCACCTTTTGTGAGGATCACAGTCAAGAGCCACGCCATCAGGCTCATGTTGCGGCTCGTACCCGGCTAGATCTTGCATAACGATTAGGTCCGCAGCGATGGAGCACACTCATGGGACGCTTACCTCGACTGTCCAACCGTGTCCTATCAGCGCCATGCTGTCCTGGCCGCCTCTCACTCAAGCGGAACTGCGTCTGACTTTGGAAAGGCAAGCGGTGCGCGGTCAGAATCGTGCGATGTGAGAGGACAGCCTGAGGCGCACACATCGTCCAGGAAAGAAGAGGTCGGGCACCACGAAGGTGCACGCACCGTGCGAGTTGCGCAAGCCCCACATGGGTACAGGTCGGGGTATCGGGTGCGAGAAGGTGGATGCGCATGAGGACGAAAGTAAACGTTTGAACACTCACATTTGGTCCGATATCTACACTTCGCATATGCCGCGAAGAACCAAAGCCTAGGCCTTGTTGAATCGCATGTTTGAGCCATTCTTGCGCTCGGCGTGCCGGCGCTCCTACCGCAGTTACCTTCAAGGTATATTTAGAGGCGAGACGCGAGGGTGGGGGATTGAAGAACGGGAGTGGGTCAAGAAGAGATGAGAAAAGCGAGCATCGAGACGCGAAGAGCGCGGGCGCCAAATACGAGTCGCCTCTCACCTCCTCCCATCTGCGCGACTCGAGGGTCCGACGAATGCCCATATCCACACATCTCTGATCATACCTTGACGCTTCGACAGGCCCACTACACCCTTCCTCCGGCCGTGTGGGATAGTATATTATTGCGCAGATGTGCATACAATCAACACAAGGTGCGTTGTTTCTTTAAACCATCCAATATCCCGCTGAACGCCAAGCTCGAGCAGTTTCTCTGCCGGCACTTCAACGCTGAGACTGCACTTCTATACAACACCGGGTACTACAACGCCTACTTCTCCTTCTGGAAATCTGTCGTGCAAGTGGACGACATCAATCTCCTCGACGAGCTCACGCCCACCTCGCTCCGCGATGGTATCATCATCTCCCGCCGCCGCAATCCACGGTACGTCCTCGCACTTAAGGATGCTGGCACGCTCCGTGACGTCCTCGTGTGCCACCTCAGACTCCACAAATGCGTGCACACCATCATGCACTCGTTCAGCAAGGGCTGGGACATGCTTGGCGGTACGTCTGCGCTGCCTTCTCCTCCTTCACGGCCCGTCGTTGCTGAACCGTGTCTATCTGTGTGCCAGCCTGGTGTTCTCTCCCGCCTCCACACCAACTACGGCAACACCACATGAGCTACAGTTCCGCGGGACGGCGTCATCAATGTTCTCCTTCCCCGAGCCCCGGCAGCTCATCCCCACGCTCGCGACTGTCGAATGGCATCCCTCCACGGCATCGTACGTGGCCTCGGTGATCTCCATGGGGCGCGTGCCGAGCACGGACGACCGGCCTACGTTCTACGCCCCTTCCGTGCGGCGTGACCTCTGACTGCTCGTCCTCGCACGCCGACGACCCGTTGAACGCGTTCGTGTTGGTTGTGAGCCCCGCCGCCTCCATGTCCTCGCTTGCGGGCTCCATGTGCTCCTTTGTCTTCTTTCCCCCACGCCGTCCCCTCGCTGCTCTCTCCGCACGCGGACTAGAACGCTGTGCGCGCGCGATCCGGGCAGGCGGCTTTGCTACGGCACACGCACCGCACACTGACGCCTGCTCGACATACGCGACCTCTCGCCGCGCTCATCAGCCATACTGCATCTATATACCTGCATGTACAATAGCTGGTTTGCGACAATAAATGCAATTACATGTTCTGTATTACCGTCCCCACCAGAACCGTCCTGAGCCCTGAGCGAACTGGCCGGCCTAGCACCCTGAACGCCCGGACGCCAAAAAAGAGCAGTTAAACCTTCAGAGGACCCATAGTCATACGCCCCACATAGAGAACACCGTTGAAAGCAGGCCAAAGCCCGGTGGCATTTCGTCCCACCTTCACAGCAAGAGACGTTCTCGCGCGGTGATACGCACCCAGCTCCGCTGAGCGCGTATACTGTACGTCCGGCGCTCGTTATGTCCTCATCCGCGCATTACCATCCCGACCACCTCACGCACTAGTATATCTGCTGTAGCTCTCCGTCGTCGCAATACAGCTTCCCTCGTCCGGTTTGATGCCGGAGAGCGTCGTCTCACCCCAGTTTCCGCCTGCAGTCTCGTCTCCGTCTCGTTCTCGTTCTCGTTGTCTTGTCCACGCCCACGTCCTCTCTCCCGCCTCTCTCTCCCTTCTCGGTGCTTCCCACTGGCGATCCTCACCCACTCGCACACCGCAGCGCGACCCCCGGGTTGCCCTGCACATCAGCGGATACCGGCGGCCGTCGAATTGTGACGAGATATGTATGTAGACGCGGGGAAATGGACGAGGTCGCGCACACGGGCGCTGGGGAAGACGATGGCGAGGTCGAGGTCGTGGGCGAAGGCGAAGGCGAAGACGAAGACGAGACGAAGTGAGCACACGGCACGCGCAGATGGAGTAGGGAAGTGAACTGGATAACGCAAAGTAAAGGAGGAGTCTAAATACAAGCAGCGCACAGCGCGAGTATGTAGTAACGAAACGAGGACCTGCCGAAGCCAAGAGACGAAAAGATACAAAGCCGGAGCAGAATATGAGGTGGAGGGACACGAGAAACTGCGGAAGGAGCTCGAGAGAGGGTGTAATAAGTGGACACAGACAGAGACAGAACGAGCCGAAACGGGGGACGCGAGAAGTGGATACAATGATACAAGCATAGGTAATATAATATGAGACGTTCGAAATAAGAGATGAGGTGCAATCGCGCGAGAAGAGAGTATCGCGCCGCGAGTGGGAGAGATCGATCGAGGGCGCGCGGCGAAGGTCACGAACGGGTGTGAATGTGGTCGTGGTGCGTCCGTGTGCGTCGCGTATGGACTGGGGCGGTGGAGTGTCGATCCCGGGGTGTTCGTGGGCGGATCGCGATGGGTGCGGATGGGTGCGCGTGGCGGAATGGACGAGATGCGATGGGGAATATGCGGAAAGGTACATCAAATCAAGATCGGAGGGAGAAAAGGAGTCTGCTAAAGCGGGAAATGCGTCTATAATGGCGGAGTGGGGGTCACCAGGGCGAGAACTAATCAACATCGCGACTTCTCCTCGGTCGAAGGCCGATTCCTCAACGCTTACTGAAAATCTGGCTCCGGAGTGCTGATGTTTGAGGTCGGGGTGTTGGACTGGAAGGTCGGAGGCGTGCGTGGGGCGGCAGGCAATTGGTGGCAACGAGGTCGGAGTTTGGATCGTAATCGTTTGAGAGCCGTCGACGTTGGTGTGGACCGTGCTTGCAGTGAGCAGGTCGAAGGGGCGGCCCGAACAGGACGTCGTAGGTGGGAGCGAATGACGTGGAATTGTATGTAGACCACGATGGAGCCGAAACGCACCGCAACGTTGCGCGCGAGACCGAGCGAGTAGTCACAGGCCCCGTTCGCGCTTGCATCTGCAGGACGACGCGCGGGTCGTAGGCGAGTCCGAGGTGGTAACAAACGCCTTTGGACATTGAAACGATGCTGGAGCCGCTGTCGAGGATGAGGAGACGTCGGCCCTGTTGAGGGACGTCCCGGTGATGGCGCGGATGGCGGCGGACTCGAGCGAGACGCGGAGCGGAGCGGCATCTTCACCGGGTGCAGCGACTTGAGATATATCTCGACTGGGTCGGGGACGGCGAACGCGCCGCGCGGAGGCTCTTCGTCTTGCGTGAGCTGGGCGAAGGCGGCGGGCATAGACTGGGCTAGCGCGCGATGCGTGTGGGGGAAGGTAAGTCGTCGAGATGTCGGCGCCCAGGAGAGAGTCCTTGGATCGCCTCCGCGGTGAGTACAGGCTCGACAGGAGCACGGCGGACAGTGCAGAGCTCACGCGTGGCAACGCACAACTAGGGCGACATGGAGAGAAGCTCTTCGTGTGTGACCGTAATCGGCTGGTCGAGGCAGCGCTTGAGAACGCTGGCAACGTGCTGGGGATTGTAGATCGGGGGGAGTTCATGGTACGAGGCGCCGGGCTTCCTGAATCTGGGCTGCGCGTGCGTGCGTATCACTGGATGAGACGGTGATGACAGGAGTCTTCGTCGGAGAGAGGAGCGCTGAGACTCGAGGAGCGCTTAGCTCGGTGAACGCGGGCGACGCGATGTGCGCGCTGTGATCTTGCTTGTGTGCTTCTACTGTACGCTTTTGCCTGCGCTTTCGTCTGCAGCCGGCTCCCACCCCGATTCGGGTGCATCCCCCGCGACCGGAAGCTAGAGTCGTCACCCCCACGCTCGACTGCCGAGTTCCCGTGTTCTCCGACCCCGCCTGAAGGCTGCGGCATGCCGCCGATACGAATGCAATTCCCTTTAACATTGACTCTTTATGCGCGGAAAGCCCACCCAATTTAGCTCATTCCGTCAAACATAAGATAGTCCAATTTCCCACATGCGAGTCAATACAATATAAGCGCAAAATACTACATTGACGACCAGACCCAAGCCAGACAACCACAGGATGACGGGGAAGGCTACGAACTACTCGGGGGTCACCGGCGTTGCCGCGAACAAGGCTTCACATAACAGATCAGCGACCTCGCACAAAAATAGCGCATGACGAACACTCACCGTGAGTGATGTGTCGGGATCAAAGTCGGCCCGCTGTATCAGCTCGCGCGCACACTCGCCGTGCTCGCGCCAGACCTCGATCGGCGTGCGGTTTGACTCCGCGATCCGCCACCACCGCGGGGTGCGCGTGGCTAGGGAAGTCCCGCCCTTGTACCTGTTCCAGTCCTGTTCGACGGCCATGGTGACCATCCCTGCTCGGCGCGCAGACATCGCGAAGACACGAAGCGTTGACAGCTTCGTCGCAAAATCGCCGGGGAGGGATTGCTCCCATTGAGCGTGTTCCAAATCCGGCCCCCACCTGTAAAAGTACAGTGACAGGTACACCAGAGGCGTAGACGCGAGCGCATCCAACAGCGTTGCCTGCGTGCGGGTGTCGTGTGTGCCAAAATGATAGTAAGCGAACCTGATGAGCAGGAAAAACGTGTAGACTGACCTTATGGTCGCCGACGTCGGCGTTGAAGTCGACCGTGATCTCCAGAGAGCGTAGCCGAGGAGAAGCAGACAACAACTTGTTCCACATGAGGCCTCCATCCAACAACACCCTCGCCACGTGCACCTGGAGCGCGATTGGTCGAGCGACTTCAAGAAGGGGCGCGAAGGGTTCCACGTCCCCCGGGCTGGAGAGTGGACCGTCCAACGCTATCAAGCCGATATCCCCGACGAGAATTGCGGTGTCGACTGGGACGTGACAACGTTGTCGAAGCGGAGCTCAGCAAGGCTGAGGGGAGATTGGCGCGGTGCGTGGATGATGAACGTTGGGATAAAAAAACACCATTGCTGAAACCGAAGGCAACACCTCTGAGGTTGACGCACACCTCGATGAGCCCGGCCGCGACTTCAGGACTAGATTGGTGGATGGAAAGGTGCCTGATGGAGGGGAGGGCTGGAGGGCTCTTCACCCGAGGAGGGTTTTCATCGAAACACCGTCGACGTTCAGGGAGTGCAACGTCGAAGCGAGGAGAGGGCAGTGACCAGTTTGGAAAAGGTGGAGGTCATCGACTTTGTTGTCCTCTCATTCAAATGAGATGAAGGGTGGTGAGGCTCGAGAGCCCAGGCAACGCTTCGAATGTTCTTCGGCCCACATGCCACAGGATGGCCTGCTCGAGGGAGCTCATCGCGCCCATGACCTGCGCCAAGTCGCTGTTCAGGATCAGAAAGGACTCAAAGTAGTAGATCTCGAGATTGCGGAGGTGGGCGGCGGTCTTTTGCAGAAGGCAGCAGAGGTAGTCGATATGGTGAGGGTCGTAGAAACCCAGGAGGGAGAGGTCGTGAAGTTGATCGACATGGGCGACCCCGTACAAGCCCGTCTTGTACAGGAAGTCAATCTTGGAGAGCGCCTTGTCGTCGTTCCAGCAGTCATCGAACCGGGAAACCCTCAACCTCTTGAAGAAACGGGGCCTGTCTATGAGAAAGAGCTGTTTCGAACAGGAGGAAACTGCGTGGGCATTCTCGCAATCCAAAAATGAGAAGATGATTCGGAGGACGTCTTCGTTGAGAGAGGCGAATGAGGTTGACGTCATTGCTGGGTGGGGTGGGTGGGGATAAGGTGGATGGGGATGAGGGGGAGTGGGGTCGAGCAGCAGCAGGAAAGCAGGTACAGCGGGAGCAGGATGAGCGATATGAGGCGGCGATGCGGCGGGGACGTTTTTGTACCTCTATCCCAGCTTGAACACACCCGGTGAAGAGAACAATTCACTGTATGGGAGGTCTAAAAGGGGCAGCTTGGTGCATCCCATTGGTCGATCGTTTTGAAGAAAGAGCCCAAACAAAGGAATCATGAGATCAAATTGAGACCGGCAGGTTCTCGGCTGGCAAAATGTGGGTCTTGGCTTAGATTTGGAGCAGCGGAGGAAGGCCACAGGCCGAAGCTTTGTTCAGAACGGCGGTAGGACAAAGAGCTCATGTGAGCATAGTGGCCGCGCATCAGACAACAACCGTGACCGGCGGCATCTGCGTCGAAGCTGCCTATTTCGTATTGGAATGGAACGCCGGCGGTAATCCATCCTCAACGGCCGTCTCGGAGCGCATTGCGTCGGCGGCCGGCTATTGCCCAGCCCCGCCGACGTACGGATTCCGGCAAAAGGGGCCGAGTTTCCGAGCCGTGGAAAATGAAGTCCGGTCTATCGGACGCCGGTGCTCATTGATTGTTCGATGCCCTCGAAGGGGCGTCCACCGGTTTTAGGAGTTGGTCCGATGAATATGGTCCGGCGGACGCCTGATTGTAATCCGATGCAGGTAGTACATAACGGTGCGTCGCTTGCACTAGTGCGTCGCTAACAGCAGGCCCATGCCAAGCCCCGCCGTGTTCCAGATCCACGAAAACTGGCCGCAGAATGCCATTCTTCAGATGAGCGAAGCAAGAGAAGTTGGTCTTGGCTGAAACACGGGCTGGTGGAGGGCGCTCCGTGTTTATGTAAGAACACGGCCGACGATTGTGCCCGGCGGCCGCTCCTACACGCCCCCTCAGCCAGCCCATGCTGCTCCTGCCGCAGCTGCTCCCATTGAATCGGCACGCATTGTAAATACTCAACGTCAACCATCTTCTCCGCATACTCGCACAGATATGACGCCCACTATACGGACGGATTACGATTCCCATCGTTCCCTTCGTGGCCTCCGCTGGACGCCCTCAATCTCCACCATTCACGGCGCGGTGTCCACTTATCGCGCGATTGCACCTCGTCTCCTGTCTCATCCATCTCATTCTATGTTCCGTTCGATTTCCTTCCTATTCTTGTATCTTAATATCCACTTCCCACGTCCCCCGTTTCGGCTCGTTCTGTTTCGGTCGGAGTCCAGTGATTACACCGTGTCGAGCTCCATCCACCGCAACCCGTTTTCCCTACGTCACATTCAGTCCCGAGCTATGTCGTCTTGTCCAAGCTACTTATTCGCTCTGTGTGCGTCATGTGTTTGAATTCGTGCTTTACTTCGTGTCATCAAGTTCACGTCCCAACCCCACTTGCGCTTGCGGTGTGCCCATCGGTCTCACCTTTCGTCTTCGACCTCAGCTTCGCCAAAATGGCTTCGCCGACAAGGTTTCGCCAATGACTTTGACTTCGAGGTGACCATCGCCGGCGCCCGTGTGAGCGACCCTGTACATTCCCCCACGTGCATCCCTTCTCATCCTCCGCGCACCTGCGTGTTCACCTGATCCACCGTCACATTGATGTACACGCGGGGTGCGCTCAACTGTGTCCACCGCCGCCGGCGACACGCTGCAGGCGTCATCGCAAAGGCACAGGTACTCTGTCTGGTCGAAGCACCGCCGGGTAGATACATGCACGGTGAGGGAGCTTGCTCCCGAAGAACACCGGGAAGGCTAGGAGATCCACACAGATTATTCGGGCGTGGAGCACTGGGTGCATGGCACCGCGTACACAGCGAAATGTATGTATATCGCGAGGAGTAGCATGAGAGCTCCCAACCCAATCGACCGGAGCGCCTTCCCTTCACTCCACCCACAAGAACACCGAACCATCGAAGACCTAAAGCCAGATACGTCCGAAATCCGCCGGTAATATGCCGTTTTGGCACCAACCGACCCTGCAAATCCCCTCCCCCCCCACCCCTTGCCTCCAAATTCATGTGCCGCACCACCCCTGCTCTACAATACCTCAAGCCTAGATCGATGGCTCCCGTGCGCCTGCGTAGTTGACGCGGGCATCCATTTCCCGCCACGCAATCCACGCCCGCCGGTATTCTGAACACCAATCCAGCGTGAGCGCCCGTGTATTCACCCATTGCCGCCGGTCTTCTGCCCGGGACCCAGCACCGGCGGCCCCTGATCCCGGCGCCGCTTCGTACACACCGCTCAACCTCCCCGCTCCGCCTTTCCTGCGATTCCGGTGAGCCGCCGAGCTGCCCGCCCTCTGTTCCCAATGCGTACGCAGCCCCCGAGGCGTACGGTGTCGGTTGGATCCGACGCTCGGCCGGCCATCTCCCCGAAGAATAGTCCGTCACAACGCCGCCGTCCACCTCCGCCCGAATTCCTGAGGCAAGCCTGCAGCAGGTGATAGATCCACGAAGCCACTAGAGTGACGAGTGGCACCTGCCCCGGGAGCATCTTTGGCGAAAATGTCATTGATGCTGCGGCCCCCGAGCTCGACGTCAAAGGATAGTCGACGCTCCGGGCCTCCCGGCAAGAGGGAAGCGCACAGAACAACTGCCGCCGCCCCTCCCGCAGCATCCGTTCTGTTTGTCGACTCGAGGAGGGCCCACACCGGCGTCCAGTAGATGAGGCGATGCTCGGCGGGCCGGGCGAAGGTCGCCTGGGCCGATCTGCATCGACTTGTCGGATGAGGGTGTTTCGCATTAAAGCTACAAAATGTTGAGGAAAAACATACCGCTCACAGCCGGAACCCCTTACTCTTGCACTCCAATTAGACTGTTCAAACTTGACTCGGGAACTTGAACATAACGCCCTTCACCAAAAGACCATGACTCACATGGACGGGCCTTCACCGATCTCAGTCGCCTATCAAGTCGACCGAACGTAATGAAGCAACCAACGACCTCCTTTGATTGCCACGTTAAACTTTGTCCGCACATGCACCGACAAAACAACTCACCCGCGTCCGTAATACCAGCCCTGTCTTCTCCTCGTCCCCGCCGCCCTTCTGTCGCCCGTACCTGCAGCAGGTGATGGACCCACGAAGCCACTAGAGTGACGAGTGGCACCTGCCCCGGGAGCATCTTTGGCGAAAATGTCATTGATGCTGCGGCCCCCGAGCTCGACGTCAAAGGACAGTCGACGCTCCGGGCCTCCCGGCAAGAGGGAAGCGCACAGAACAACTGCCGCCACCCCTCCCGTGGGTTTCGCCTTGGTTGTCACAGCGAAGACGAGGCGTTGCGCGTGCGCATACTGGTCACGACGAACGCTTGTGCTTCACCGAATCGTCGCTCGTATGGGGAACACTAAAAGGCCGGGCATTAGCAGGGGTATCCTTCACACAAAGCTATGCGTACCGTGTATAGCGCCACGTGAACA